ARAWTWAMCYWWTTTKGKRWTTTTTTTCTTTGTCTTTGTTTCAGCTTGTGATGCTTCTCTTAGAGAGACAAGCTGATCCTGAAMTCCCTGACTCAGGAGGAAGGTCTGAAAAAAAATTCACTTTCAAATGATTGATGCAGCCTACCTTTTTCTACTGTTACCCTATTTTTAGTAGTGGTTGATCTGATTATAATAAATATTATACATAATTTCTGTCTTCAAGAACACCAAAAGACTTTGCTTCAGCTTCWGARAAGATATGGCCTCATTTTGCAGGTATTAAATGGCCACGTCTGTGTAAATTGTGCRYGTTTTCTGATTGCTATCTCATGCTAGAATAACTATAATTGCATCCTTTTTTAGTATCAGTGAATATGTATTATTTCAGCTTTGAAATACAAAAGAACTGCCAAGCAGGAACTCATAGAAAAGGGTATTATTAGAAAGGTATCTACTAAAGATTCACTCAGTTCTGAAATACTACCTGATCTTCAATTACTTAATTTTTACAGTTAACRACTGATGAAATGAATTCAACAAACAATGGTGGCTTTAGGCCTGGTAGCAGTTCTACTAAACTGGTAGTAATAACGAGCTGAATTAATTAATGATTACTATTTATTATGGATAGTACTTGATATGATTAAATTTGTGTATTTGATTTGTCAGGCATCATTTTCACGTCCAGGATCAGCATATGTGCTACAAAGAGATCTCTTCAACAAAGGGCCTTCCAATGATCCTCAAGGTAAGTTGATGACTTGATATGAAAATGATTAAAGAAACCAACACTTACCTACCTACCTAGTAGTAGGTCCAAAAGGGATCAAGGGAAGGAATCTGAAGTGGTTACGAACATATTTTTCCTGGGAATTGGAGCCAGACTTTATAGTCTGATGGCCGGCAGCTACATTGTATGCTTGAATTGAAGCTCTATTTTTACATCAAAGTGAGACGACTGGCGGACAAATTTCTATAGGACACTAAAATCATTATTTATCTTTTATCAAATGCAATCTCATGTGTCATCTCCCTTTGGTGCAAAGGCATTAGCCATTCCGGAGTTATGAAATGAATTGTATTTTCTGTCATATTGAGCCAATCGAAAAACTAACCATATCACTAAAAAGACTTTATCGACTTTAGTGTAGGTTCCAAGTTTACAGATCATTTGGACAAATATTCAATTAATGAGAAGCCGTGCAATTTACAGAGAATGTATGGGGATTTTGACTGCGTCCCCCAGTTAATTTGATGAAACTAGGAATAAATACTGTTCAGCTAGTTTTTATCCAAACGTTTTGAAACTTGGTATATTTACTAATTTTTGGGTGTCCTTTCATGGGGTGAGGTTTGTTTCGTGATTAGATCAATATTTCTTTGATAAGTGCCCAGTCCCCTGCGCAACTCCGGAATGGCTAATAGTTACCTTTCATTGACTTTTTTTATTAAATGTTTTCATTGATTCATTTCAAAGGCTGTGCTGTAGTTGGCAGTGATGTACTTGGTGATTCAGACACTASTAACTCAAGACAACAAGGATTCAATCAGCCTACATTTTCTGTATGGAGAAATTAAATCATTTTTGCAAGAATGCAATTCAATGTTAAGTATATAAGATTGATGTACATGTACATGTAAAAGGAAAATATTGTAGTTCTAACTACAGTGGTATTGTCCCTCTTTCAATCTTTAACTTTGACATTTTAACTACATTTTTGCAATCTTTACTGACCAAATAGAAACTAAAATGCRTAAACCAGCACATTCTTTATTAAATTAAAGTGCATTTTTTACTAAATTTGAGAAACATTGTGCATTGGACATGTTCACTGTTTTTTTATAAATTATTATTTTCAAAGGYATTTTGTAAATTTTCTATTTAAAAATATCAATTGAAATATATTTTGCACAGAGTGATAGTGTTTGTAAATAAAAGAGTCGTTTTTAAATAAATTATTGCMTTGTGATTTAAATAGTGGTAATCAATTAATTAATAATAATATTTACATTGCATGAATCTAAATATCATGATATTTTGCAAAAAATATGTACAAAGCTTTTCTGGACTGGGTTAATGATTTGGCCAAAACAGTGAAAGGCTTTCTCGAAACGAGCTAGCTTAGCTAAAGCATTTTTAAGACTGCTTGATGGACAGTAACTATTAAAAAACGTATTTGAGGTAAACTGTTATGTAATGTTTTCTGTTTTTTGTCACCTATGTATAGGTTTACTGTGTATGCAACTGTTCACTAATTCTAAATTTCAATAAACAGGGGTACATCCTAGGATTTTCATCTTGTACCTCCTGTGTTTGTCTTTAGATCTGCAATACGTATTACTGCAAAATTTAGCAAAGGGAAGTATGCTTCATCTAATACAAATAGTGTAAATTTATGTGTACTATATTTACAATTCTTGATTTTATTCTGTGTTGCTATTTCAAATCCTTAGCTTGAATAGCTGTCAGTCTATGCTTTGCTTGMGTCAGTAGTTGCTCCAGTTGTAGCAGATGCAGCTGCACTATTGGCTCTTCTGAATAATTCTCCTGGCTTACGCTGAAGCTTTGGAAGAAAATATTTACTAACTTTTAATACAATATAACTATAATAACATATGATGAGACTGGGCTTTCCAGAATTTAAAAAAGGACTGCGAAGCTAATGTAAGATTAATAATGTCCTTTCTTTTATACTTAATTAGTTTTTCTGTTTTTGTAACATTCCCAGTGTATTCATAAGTCAATTTAGTCGTCCGTACAGTTAGTAAATTTATTCAGTTTTGGCATAATCTTCA